TGGATTTGAACCTGCCAGCTCAGGTGCATGTGGCTGGCACCTTAGCCGCTTGAGCCACAGGGGCTCAGCCCAGATTATAATTTTATAAGATCTATAAAAGTGTAGACTAATAGTCAAATTACCATTCTTAAATAGGATATTTCAAGAGGGTAAATGAAAAAGAGATTGTTGAAAGCAGAGTAAATTTCTATAAGTTAAAATAAATTTTTTAAAAGCAGTAGAAAAATGTAAGGAGAAAGGAACAAGTAAATCCAGCCGGAGAATAGTTATAGAAATAAATCTTATCACGGGAACAAGTAATATCAGAGACTCAGGTGAATGAGGTTCTTCTACTTATGAGATACAATAGGAATGTGTACCAGAATCAAATAATGCTATCAGGAACTAAATAAACTATCAATGACTAGCAAAGTGAGCTGTACACACTAGAAGCTCAATAAATAGTTTTTTAATTCAAAAGAGTTTCTTCTCTGGAGAAAATTAGTTTAAACATGATTTACAAAGCATACTAAATAGAATCTGACATGTAATAAAAATGAATTTGATTTCCTAAAGGAAAGCTTACCAAATTAAATTTTTAAAAGACAAATTAAAATTTTACAGACAGACCGACAGTCTTCAAAAAACTGAATCATAATGTAACAAAGGCAAAGGACTGAAAAAGAGCAAAAATGTTTTATGAGTTGTCTCTTTAAAACCTTTTCATTCTTTTTGGGAAATTAAAACCTGCATTCCTGTGTGAGGCCAGTAATCAGAGGGGCAGGGAGATGTTCTTCCATTTTTTTTATACCACAGGAGATGATTCAATAAAATTGTCTAGTCAGATGTCACAAGACTGCCTTCACCAGAGATGCTATAGTTAAACAGCAAATCCCAAAGCTGAAAATTCCTTTTCAAAGCTCTGTATTTCTGCTTATAGATAGTATGATGGTACTTGAAGACAAGAGTCTACTATAGTCCTCATTTGTGGGCAAATTAATAAAGTTCACTTTCCTCCTCAAACCACTAGTCCTCATTCTGTCTTCAGCCACAGGGACAAGCGCTAAACTTTCGGTTACAATAATTTCTTTTAAATCAAGACAAAAATCAATGAAATCATAGGCAACTCCTTTTGCTTCTTCCTATTTCATTTTCCTCTGATGAAGAGACACTTTATGCTTTTGGTAGTAAGAGAGAACTCCATAAATAAGAAACCATTCTATTCCTATGATAAAAAAATAGCCCCCATCTGGAACAAGAAAAAAGAACCCTATAGTATTGTCTCCATTATTATCTGTGGATTGTTTATGAGTCACCCAGAACACCTGCCTGGCTGCGTTGGGAGCAATACATTCAAATCATAAAACAACAAATTCAAAGAGTTTTCTCAATTCCTGCTGTTTTACTTTTAGGAAATTGAATACTTGGCTTGGTGCCTGTGGCTCAAGTGGCTAAGGCGTCAGCCACGTACACCCAAGGTGGCGGGTTCGAATCCAGCCCGGGCCTGCCAAACAACAATGACAGCTGCAACCAAAAAATAGCCGTCGTTGTGGAGGGCACCTGTGGTCCCAGCTACTCGGGAGGCTGAGGCAGGAGACTCTCTTGAGCCCAGGAGTTGGAGGTTGCTGTGAGCTGTGATACCACAGCACTCTACCCAAAGGGACAGCTTGAGGCTCTGTCTCAAAAAAAAAAAAGGAAATTGAATACTTTATATAAAACTCAGATATGTGTATAGTAAATAAGTCAACATACACTTAAAATTCGTGTGCATTACAAAAATGTTCTTTGATTTCCAAAGGATTGAAAGTAATCCTTTACATCAGCATCTCCATTGTAATCTGAGTGTTAAATACTTTTTGTTACAATGTTACTGAAATATATAATTACCAACCAAGACAAAACTCCTAATACAACTCAAATAACGGCAAAATCTTTCAAGCTAAATCCAAATATAACCACAAAACCAATGCCATTCAACCAATAACATTTACGCGACAGGAAAAAAGATGCTGCTTTCTTCAAACAAAACCTCACACTGTAACATGAATATAATGGTCACTGCCAATATACAAGTTCTTTTGAGCTTTGGAATCCTTCTATTACCGTATAAGATGTGAAGCAA